TACATGGCGTCATAAGAAGACTAAATCGTTTTGTTCGATAATCTGCGAAAAATGTTATTCTTTTTAGCACACGGCCTTTTATTTCTTCGCTCACTTTTTGGGGACCCTTTGAAAATCACGATCTTGTACTACCTCAGAATGTCCGACGTATATAAATATTCGACTTTTGATAAAAGTATTTGTATTGCCGACATAACTCAGAACTGCGCAAGCAATTTTGGGGGATTAAAAACGTGAAGATAATTGGGTATCTATGTACCGGCAATTCGTAAGGGATAGGGTCACGGTTCACAAAGCCGTAATGGTAGATTTACATTAAGCTAGCTAGCCAAATATCGATAAATCAGCAGGTTTCAAATCTTAATTTGGAAAACCAATCATTTGCACAAAATAATTATATTTCTGATCAACAAAAGGAAGCATGATGCATGGTATATAAATTAAATCAAAAAAAAAAATTATACTGCATCGTACGTAAATTCTCTCTTTACTTGAGAGTTATTTTTGCGTACAAAATTTTTGTGCCAACTGCTTGTTAAATATAAATCAAATATCAATAAAATGAACAATACTATTAAACCAGTTGATTTAATGATAGATGGTGATATGATTTATTGTCGTCCTCATCATCTCGAAACTTGTTCCAAATGTAACTTAGACTTTAATTCTTTAAATGCTTTACACAAAAGTCTCTTACAAATAAATGGAGATATTCCTCCACCAAATGCAATAAACCAGAAGTTAGCAAATCAAATTAATAGCCTAAGAGAAGAAGGAAATAAATATTACAAAGCGCAAAATTATCCAGAAGCAATTAAATTATACTCGCTAGCAATTGAAATGGCGTTTCAACGACCAGTTTGGGAACCTTGTGAATTAACGAGACGAGATGTTTCGACATGCTTAGTTAATAGAGCGGCAGCACATATGGCAATCAATTCATGGGTCAATGCTTATATAGATGCCGAGTGGGGGATTAGAATCAAACCCGACTATGTCAAGGGATATTTTAGAAAAGGAAAAGCTTTGATGGAAATGAAAAGATATGATGAAGCGGTACAAGCATTCGAAATTGGTTTAGGATTTGAACCTTCTGATAAAAGTTTAAAGGATGCACTTGATGAAGCTAGAAAATTGAAGAAGAAATCGGATGATTGTGATAACTTTTTATAATGTTGGAAATGCAATTTTTGAGGATGAAATTCTTTAACGTCATAGTTATTTTATTATTTATTTATCTTTTTTTTTTTTTGGAAAACCGGATATCCTTTTTTAATTCACATAAGTTTACATGAATAATTAAATTAGTAGTAGAAAATAATTTTAGAGAAAGTTTTAGAGAAACTAAGATATAGAAAACATTACTATAAACTAATAAAAAACATTTGAATGACAACAATTGCATTCTCAATTGCTTTATTATTAAATAATTTCGATCAAAAAACCTTGACATGAGAACAGGTGTCCATACTGATCAAATTATGGATTTCTATTAACTCTAGCTTATGTTTATTGATAGCAGAAAATTATATAATAAAAACTTATTACATAATATATACTGTAGCTGACTGAAAAATAATAAATGATAGGATCTGATCAATGAGAATGAAAGAATTTATCATCTTCTCCAAAGTCACTTTTACGTTTTGCTACATTTGTTAATCTCCAGGCCACTCCAATTGAATAATACGTGGGCCAACCATATTGGATCCAATGCTGATTCGGATCAATTATAAGAACCGGATCAACGTAAAAAAACCACAATATTTGAGGTTCAAGAAGTGATCATATGGTATCAGGTAGGGTTGTGTTCACAACCCTCGTATCAGGTATTGCGTAATAAAAGCCCAGATATTAAATTTGGATTTGTATCACTTCCGACAGCTTATTTCACCGAAGCTCATTTTCACAGACAAGTTTTTTTATAAATTACACTAATATTTAATGACAATGACCAGAATTATTTTGTCGGTGAAATGAGTTTCGGTGAAATAAACTATCGGTAAAATTAACTTGTCGGTGAAATAAAATATGTCGGCGAATTGTTTTCGGTAAAATATTATGTCTACGAAATGAGTGTTGGTGAAGTGAGCAGAACCGATTAATTAATCAAACCTCAAATCTAACCTCAAACTTTTAATATTAATACTAAATTTACAAAATGTGCGTGATGTTAAACACCAGTATAATTTGGTATAAAAAATTTGATTTATTATTTCAATAAATAATTATGCACAAAAATGAAATAACCAAATAAATACTAATGATCAATTTAACAAAAATATAAATAATATACAAATAATTTCTTTCAACATTCCAAACCAATTCAATACAGTATTAGCATGAAAGTTTTCTTATAAGCAGTCAAAAAAAAAGACCATGATGCGTAATCTCTTTAGCACTTTCCAAATTTGATCAATTTGACAATCATAGTCCGTGACAAAGCATAAGCACACACTTTATTAAACCGGCAAATAACAAATCGAAATGAGGAATGTCTTAGCACTATACACGTTAAAAAAAAAAAAAAAAGAAAAAAAAAAACAAAACAAAAACCGAAATTTTATTGTTACTCACCTATTTCAGTATGTCACAGTCAAAGAGCCGTTACTTCAAATATTTCATACTCTTTTACTAAGAACGATTCTTCAAGTGTTACCTGAAATTCATACGAAGACTTCTTGCAATTACATTCACCTGCCTCCCTAAAATGCCTTCTCAGCCATAAATCACCATCTCCGAAACATGGCCCCCATCCATTATGATTGTACACAGCATAGTTGGGTTGTATAACTCTACTGATCATTGATCTCTTAAGATCCGCTCTATTAATTCTGAATAAAAAACTATCTCGATCGTAATCATATCCAAACATTTTCCAATAATTGCTATTAATTCTTTGATATCCACCAATCATTTCTTCGCTTTCCGTAAGGATTAAAACTAGCAACGCAGGATATTCGAATCTAATTCGATCAAAAACTTCACCACAAAACCCATGATCACTACCACGAATTAAAAGCCGAAAATTGAAAGGATTCTTTTCACGAGTGACTAATTTGCCCTCTTTACGGTTGATCCAATGAGCAAACAATGCTGCGTGTTTGTAATTAATCAAACACGAATCAATGATAAATGGTAAACGAGGATGAAAAGATATATCTAGCTTCCTTCCAGTAAAATAATATTCCTCAATCCTTTCTTGAATTTCTGGTGAGAATATCTTTTTGAATGGTCTAACATTATGATAATATTCTTCCATATCAATATTGTTCATTCTAATACGTGGAAGACAGTTACGCATCTTTTCTTCCAATAACGAAAAATCGGTTGGAGACCATCTTGAAACATCTGGATCTAATCCAACATTAAGCTGTCCTTTAGCCCACTTAATAACATTATTCCAAATATATACTTCGGGCAAATTCAAGTCTTCACGTTCCAAGATAGTGACCAATATATCTTCTTCGACATGATAAAATTGATCTGAAGCGAATAACAACCATGGATCGTCACAGGTTTTTTCAAAGCAATGTTGTTTGATTTTGTTGCAAGTAGGAATTAACCAAGTACATCGGAGAATGGAAATTAAATTTTCAGTGAACCATTCTGAATGTTTTTGAATAAGATGCTCTGTCCAATGTCCACAAAACATAAATATTAAAAGCCAGATTTTCAAAAAAAAAATCTATATATATATATATATCGCTAGAATCGAATTATGAATTGAAAAAATGAACCTTGTATATTATCTGCGAGCTCCATACGAAGGAATTCAATTTTGTAGATAAATACATCGTATTGAATAATGGGCATAAGTTTCCACATATTGTAGTTGTTGGGACAAGAAATTAACAATACTTACTTCATGTAGCATTAACTCGTCACAAGCTATCAGGAGGTCATAAATGTCTGGAACACAATCTTGCTCAGTGAAATCGAGTTCACCAGAATATATATATCTATATAATTAAAAGTAAGTTAATATATAGCCCATATTATAACACAATTTAGGCATAAAAATACCCGAGAATAGCCTCAAAAACCAGTGGGTGAATATTAGGTTTCACAAACACCTTTACACCATCTTCCGAAGTAGCCCAAGTACTTGATAATGCTATTTTGAAATACTCGCAACGTGTACGTAAAATGACCGTATGCCCTAAAAATTCTTTAGAAGAACCTTCTTCACCAACTATTATTTTTACATCATAATCACCAACATTTCTTATGAGTACATCTCTAGTCGAGAATTGCACTCTCATTTTTGGTGCACGAAACAAAAAGCGAAAGATATGGTAATTAAGTTATAAATATTTATTAAGTGACTAATAACGATAATTAACAAGTGATCGTCTTATTTGCTTTTTTTTTTTTTGCTTTTTTTTTTTTAGTTACAAATTCAGTTATTTATTTTAAAGAGCAAGAGTAAAAAAATTGAATCTCAACTAATTACGAGATTGTAAAAAGATTATATAACGATTATCGTGCGGTCTTGAGAAACAAAATTACTTATTTTAGATAATTCTATGAGTTCTGTGCTGTACCAAAGCAGTACAAACTATTTAAAGGAGCAATCATTATAATTCGGTTCGGAATTATCAGAGCTGGGCCAACATTACTACAGGTAGGATCGTCCCAAATTAGGAGATGATGATCCCGATCATGCATATTAGATTTAGCCAATAAAATTGTAAAT